ATAGAGAATAAACATAAAAAATATGAACAAAAAATGATAAGTTGAGGAAAACTTTTGGGAAATACTCTTTCGAAAAAGATTAGATGGGCAAATAGTAAATTTATCAGTGAATGCAAATCAGAAGTTTTGAGAATTTGGCAATTACTCAAATAGTACAATCACTTAATCCAACTAATATAAATGCACCAATAAAATGTAAACTAGTTCATTAGAACAACTTCTCCCAAAACCTTCTTATAGAAAATAAACATACTTCAATCGCAAGTGCATTTTAACAAAATAAAGTAAATAATAGACTTAGTAAAAGCAGGCTTTATTTCATAAAGATTTGTTCCAAAACGAGTAGAATTTTTAGGCCAAAATTCGCATGGTCATTTTTTTTATCTATTCAGTATATAATAATAGAATGAATCATACTATAGAGTCACATGTTTAAAAAACAATTCAGGTTAGAACTCTTCATTACGAGAAAAAAACAAAGCAATCGTTAATTGTTGAGTTAAGTTAGAGCGTTTATGGCGATGGAAGAACAGATAGTTGAGCTTCGCATGATGAAACAACTCAGAATACAATTGAATTGAATTAAGCCCCGTTTCCATAAGGCCTTCTCATCTAGGCTTACCTCACCCGGATCTCATTAGATTTCTATTCAAGATTCAAAATGTTGTTGTGAGCATAAAATCGCAGCTTTACTACTGCGTCCCTGAGTACCAGTAGATAAACGTCAAAAGGTGGTCTTCCCCATAGGAAAATAATGAAATTATGTGAACCCTCAAAAAATGAACAGTGAGTAAAAAAATTTAATCAAAATTCTCCCATGTATCTTTGTCCGTAAGTATTATTTAATTCTGCACTATCGTATCGAAAAACAATACTTTTTATTAAATATAAGTTGTTTGACCTTATTTTCGCAACTTGGTAATATTGGTAGGAAGACTTAGAGGAACGCACCTAGCCCGGAGTTCATTGTATGCATGATAATTTCCAAAGTCGGACCGTCGACGTGGTACATTCCCTGGCGTATCGCCGGCATCGTAATCGGCATCGTCAGTGAGTCTTGCCATTCTTAGCACCACACTATAACTCGTCAAAAAGACAAGTGAAGCCGATCCTTTGACCAAATGTAAACTAAACAGTTGCGATATCTCTCCTTGTTGAGCTTACTTCCATTTCGAGTGAAAAAGTTGGGTGAAGAGATTCGAAGGTCGGTTCCACCAGAAGGCGACGGCGGATTCCTCTTGACTAGCTGTTAATTAGCCTGAATCTTCCAGTAAAGCCAATCGACAGCTGGTCAAGAGGAATCCGCCGTCGTCTTTTGATGAAAGCGACCTTCGAATCACTTCACCTAATACTTTCATTCGAAATCGAGGTAAGCTCAACAAGGAGAGATATCTTTTCACCCAATACTTTCACTCGAAATTGAAGTAAGCTCAACAAAAGTGAAACAAGAGATTCCTCGAAACCCAACTTTTATTCGCATTTCTCCTTGTGTCATGGACTATTCACCTCTCCTATATGTTCTATCACGCCTTCACTATCACTATTTTTCTTGCTTATTTAAATCTAGCGCGGTGTGCGCTTTTGAGCGGCTTTAATGAGAACCCTTCACATTCCACGCTGGTGTTCTCACCCAATTCACCCTTGTGCTGGGAATGTTGCTCCGAGTCTGCCATATTGTTACGAAGGCCCTCCTTCCATAGGTCGTATTAGAGTCTCCCTCATGCGCCGTAAGATCCGTTTGCTACCTCCCTGGTTAAAATATTTCACTCGAACCATGCGACCCCATCTGTGTTACTCAAGACATTGTTTCACACACAGGGAAGAGGTAAAAACGCCTCGAGTAGCACAGATGGGGTGGCAGGGGTCGAGTGAAATACTTGAACCAGGGAGATAGCATACGGATACTACAGGGCAAGAGGGAGACTCTGATAAGACCTAGGGAAGGAGGACTACGCAACAATATGGCAGACTCTGATATACATTCCCAGCACAAGAGTGAAGGGGGGTGAGAACGCCAGCGTGGAGTGCGGAGGGTTCTTATGAAAGCCGCTCAAAAGGGCACACCACACTAGATTTAAATAAGCAAGGAAAAAAATTGTTATAGTGAAGGTGTGATACGAGGATATAGGATAGGCGAATAGCCCATGACAGGAGAGATACGACAACTGTTTATACACGTTTGGTCAAAGGATCGGCTTAATTTATCTCTGACGAGTTGTTGTGTGGTACAAAGAATGAAAAGACTCACTGACGATGCCGACTACGGTGCCGGCGAAGTGTCTGGGAATTTACCACATCCACAGTCTGACCTTATAAATTATAATGCATACAATGGACTTCGGACTAGGTGCACTTCTCTAAGTCTTCATACCAATATGACTAAGTTGCGAAAGCAAGGTCAAACAACTTCTATACAACGAAAGGAGATTGAGACCAAACAAAGGCCCCACCATCTTGGTCTTCATATCTTTGAATACTTTTTATTGATCAAACTCGATTAAACTTAGACAATTTTAAGTACTAGGTCTTGAATGCTCAGCAATAAAGAATCAATATTATCGAGTGGATTTAAAGTATCCATTTGTGTTCAACACA